AAGTAAAAAAAAAATCAATTTGTAATGAAAATATTGCGAAATGGGAAATAAAATAAACAATGTTTATTGATATGTTTTGATTGAAACTTATGTGTAAAAATAATACTACCCAACCAATATACTCAAGGCAAAAACTTACTTTTGGCCCTTTATCTTACTAAATTTGTAGATTTTAACCCATCATCTTATACTATAACACTTTTAATCCTGCATCTATTAGAATTGAAAAAAATAACCCTCATTTTATAATATTTCGTTAGTTTTGTTAATTGATTGTTAACTTTGTTAGCTGACTGTTAACTCTGTTAGCTAAAAATAGGTTTTGCAAACTAACAGTCAACTAACAGAATAGTTATGTTAACTGACTATTAACTTATTAGCCAAAATTAGGTTTTTGTCAATTAACAGTCAGCTAATAGTCAGCTAATAGAATTAATAGTTAGTTAACAGAACTAACAAAATGTTATAAGTGAGGGCTATTTTCTTTAATTCTAATAGGTGAGGGGTTAAAAGTGTCATAGTATAAGATAAGTGATTAAAACTTACAAATCTAATAAGATAAAAAAACTAAAAATAAGCTTTTGCCTATATCCAAATACCTTATTATATATTTATAATATTTTAATTAAAAATATACCTCATATGTTAGTGTGACATATGAAATTAATTATGAGCGATTTTAAGAGTACACATAGCTCCTACATCAGACTGACATATGAAATGATACTACTTCCTTATGTTTTATAATGTGTACATCACTTGTGCGAAGACAAGTTGAACAATTCTGTTTTTGCAAGATAGAGCAAACTGGGCAATAGACGGCAGAGATGAGTTGGGTAAACGGGAGCTAGATTTGAACCAGGGCCAGCACCAAGCCTGAGTATCTACATAAGGATGCCCTTGGGCTTGGGCTAGCTGGTAACGAATCTGCTAGGGCTGAGCATCGGGTATGGGAATATTTAATATCTATAAGTACTTGATTTAATTGGATATGTATTTTATCTATATCTATGAAAAAATAGTTAAATATAGGATATGAAAAAGACATACTTGTTAAGTATCATATAAGTATTGGATATAAGGATCAATACTTGTATACTTAATTTGTATATTTGACACATTTATCTGACCTATATATCTGTATACTTGATTTATATATTCAGTCCATATACTTGATTATATATTTATAATATTATATATATGTGAACGAATGGTGACATTATGTGCTTGTTAAATTCCGTTACTTATTACCATGTCAATACCAACGTGGCAATTCCTTGCCATCATGATTGCTATTATGTTAGGGACACAATTCTCTTTTTTTATTAGACTTGATAAAATTGAATTTTATATAAAAATTTGACTTAATTCATTTGTTATGAGTAAGATCATGAATTGAAGTCTCAAAAATATCAATTTATAATCATATATAATCTAGATCAAAATTATCCAAACCCACCTGAATTAGGTCATAGTTAAGTCGAATCAATTTAAAATGATCTTACTAAAATTAATTAATTTTTAAAAATTTTAATTTTAATAATACTTTTAACTTGTAGTTATATATTAATTTATATAT